CTAGGTATTTTTAGTATACATTTGCGTCTATCTATGTTGGGCAATCTTTACGCAAAAATTTCACCAAATCCAACGTAATCAAGTAGAAAAGCATCTTCTATTGTCAATGTTTGAAATTTGTGCCTTTGAATTTCTCCCACTTTTCATGTTGAGATGCTGGCAGCATAACAAATGGATTAGATGTAGAAGTTTGCCCAATCGCTTCACTAGTTTTTCTATTGAACTGGTCTTTTCTGTAAAACAACAATGAAAGAAAGCTTCAATTAATATTACAATATTACGTAAAAGAAATGTAGAAGAAAGGAAAATATGTCCTAAGATTGTTGTCATTAGTGTCTAGTACAGTCAAAAGTAAGAAAAGTAAAATAAAGATAAAACGAGGTACGCTGTAGTAAATCTCCTTACAACAAATTTCTCCATACAATGGTACCCACAAGATAATTGGACTTCTATCTCCCAACTTATTGATTATTGTAGTGTTGGGTGACTAATAATAGGTCAGAACATCGCATAATTGAAGCACAGTCAATAGGTGTTAAGGAATAATATTTGTGACGTGCTATCTTGTGTGATAATAATGTGATTGAATGCATCTCTTTGCATATGAATTCGGGCTAGGAGGAATAATATTTGTGACATGTACTATCTTGTGCAATAATCATGTGGTTGAATACATCTCTTTGCATATGGATTCAACCTAGGAATAGAGTCGGGTTGTGCTTAGAATATGTTTGGTTTATATTAAAAACAAGATTGAACAATACTAAATAACATTCTAAATAGTCACGGACATTCTAAACAATATGACTCTTTGTAATGCCCCAAAAATTTTAGAATAAAATTTATTTATTTTTATATTATATATTTACATTTTTTTAAGTTGAGGACTAAAATGAAAAAATGTTTTAAATTCCTATTTTATTTGATCCAAATAATTAGATATTGTTAAGAGCGAGATTTAGTATATCGATATTAGACTCAATTTATAGGTCGTAATTAATTAAAAGTTTTTGACTCTAGAAAAAGTTATTTTGGATAAGAACACATTTAAGTTAGATTCAATTGAAAGAAAATAGGATAAATAGAACTTTATTTAAACTATAATTCAATTCATTTTCTCTCTCCAAAAACGTGTGGGTGGGTATTGAATTTTAATATTATTTTTAGTTTAATATTAACCTATTTTGAATTTAATGTGATAGCTAGTATTCTATTTGGATGACTATGAATTTATTATTAAAATATAATCCAAATACCTAAACTAGATTTAATCCAATAGGGTACATGTTTTCTAGTATAACTCAACCATTTTTTATTACTATAAATACTTTACATGGATTCCATAATTCACACACCAAAAGTTATACATACGTAAGAGAGAGAGTGTGTGTACCTTTGGGAACTAGAAGACAAGAAACCATTTTTGCAACTCTTAAATAAACGAGGTAAGATACATATGTACAAGTTGTTTTCGTTTCTATATGTTTTTATATGCAATTAAATATGCATGGATTGCTAGTGGATCTTCGCATTCTATAAAAAGAGAAATGAAATCCTACGAGATATAAGAGGATTTAAGATGGGTATATCGATTGGTCACCAATATACTCTATAAGAGCAAAACGGTATGAAATATAGATTTTATTGTTATCTATCTGTATATAGAAACTGCACATATCTTACTGAGTGTTTTCGAATACTCACTCTTACAAATTTTTACAGATTAGTTTAGGTCGATTGGAATTGTGGCGGGATGGTGATGCGGACTGCCAAGTGAATCGAAGAAAGGAAAAAGGAATTTAACATTTAATTTGTTCTTTTTTTATGTCTCTAAATTATTTGTTAGTTTTCTTTGTTCAAAAACTAACTCGTTTATTTATTTTAAATTGATATTTATGGTTGATAATAAAGAATTTTCTTTATTGAAAAATCGTTCCGCAATTATTATAAAGAAAATTGAGTTTTTCGTAGCACTCCAGAGTTTTTAAAATTTGGGGCATTACAGTATGATATCAGAGCCCAAGTTTATAAATACGATTCTGTAGACTAAAAAAACGCGCATTTTTTTAACGACTCGGGTCTCTATACCCAAGTTGTTAGTTTACGTACTGTCCGCTTTGGGTGGGCCTTGCACCTACTTACCACTCACAACTTTCTGTCGCGTCCCCCATGATTTGAACTCATAACATTTCCCTTAAGTAAGACTTAAGTTGAATCCTGGTACCAATTGGAGATCCTTATTCCCCATATCGACTGATTCTAAGGTTCAGAAAAGGACACTTTTATTCCCTTTTTTTTTCATTTTTTTTGAGTGTCTTCTTTGTTCTATCTCCTTTTCCTTCAGATAAATATAAAACTCCAGAGTATATCTTCCCAAGAGTCAAAGAAAAAAAGTTACTTTGATTATTTTTCTATTGATTTTAATCTCTTAGAAAGAGAGAATTTCCTATTTTTTTCCTTAAAAAAAATGAAAGTCTCTTGCTCGCATGCTCAATTGGTACCCGGATTCAATTTAAGTCTTATTTAAGGGAAATGTTATGAGTTTGAATCCTGAGGGACGCGACAGAAAGTCGTGAGGGGTAAGTGGGCGCAAGACTCACCCAAAGCGGACAATACGTAAACTAACGGTTTGGGTACAGAGTTCGGGTCGTTACACTCTTAATAAAAAGAAGATTGAACTACACTAAATAACATTCTAAATGGTCACAGACATTCTAAAAAATATGACTCTTTGTATGTATCATTCACAATAGAAAAGTTACACCTTTTGGAGACATATTCCATTTCACACTATAAATAAATACTATTTATTCCAACAATTGTAAAATTTTACACGAAGTGGAATAAATGCTTAACACCCCCTTTATACTATGTCTAAATCTCTTCATCCACTAACAGAGACAAATTTGTAGTAGAGCAAGGTTTATTGACCCGAATTAGGGATATTCAAGATTGTACAAAGTAACAAATAACCGATGTATTAGTCTCATGAATCATAGTAAAACACTAGGAGAAGAGTGATTAGTCAACCTTGAGACAAAAGTGATGAGCATGTTTGGAATGGCTTATGCTAAAATATAAGCTCCAAATGTGTGGCTTATTTTGAATGTAGGTGGGTCCATATTAAACGTAAGCAACACACTTGGTGCTTATTTTTAAGCATAAGCCACCCCAAACATGTGGATGATATGTGGAAAAGCAATTGGTATATTGTCTCCACCTTTCTACGATGTTTATGCAGACGACAAATGAGTTCTTTTTTACTCAGATTCCTCTTTGTTCTCTTTTAATTTTTCTAGAGATAAGAGTATAGCTCTGATGTTTAAGAAAATTTGCTTAAAAAAATAAGTATATAACAACTGTCTAATAAGCAAAGAAATTCAAAATATGATCTTTGTTTGTATATCCTAAAACTGTTCAAACTTGGAATTCTAGTAACCATAATTGTACTTTACAAACATACTGTAGCAAATATGTAAAGTTCCAAATAAAAATGCACATAGAGAAGCATTAACAAGGAATGGTTAACAATATGATTAACTCAATTTACCTTTGTTCCCCATTGCCCAGGTTGTAGATTTGCCTTATGGTTAGAGTTGGGCAAAACTAGGCTTTCAATGTAGGTAATTGCTTCATGAAAGGAATTGGGCTCAACGGGAGAATTATCATGGAAATTGGTTGTATTATCACTTTGTATACCTTCAAAGTTGACCCATGATTCATTACAAATATACCACCTAGTCTACTAACACATAATGGCAATGCGTGGTACTTATAATCCTCAACATCGATAATGTGAGCCAATCAAGTCCAAAATTCTCCAACACCATATTCACTCATTATCCATACATCCAAGTGTGTGCCATAAAAACACAATAGACAAAGGCTCCCTCTCAAGACGCCCAACAAGCAACTATTGAGACCAACAAGGTAAATCTGGGTATTGGTACATCATCGTACATCTCAATTGCCAAATTCAGTGAAGTTAAATGCAGATGACCCTTGCACCCATCCAGCCAATGATAAGCTCCTTTGATAAACACATAGTGGCCATAAAAAACCATTCCCTGCGGGCTCTCAATCAATCTCCAAGAATTAATCATTAAACTATAGATCTTCAACTTGGCAAAGTGCTTGTAATCATTAAAGAAACAATATGTTTTCACCGCTTTGTAATCATCATTTATCTGGTCATAGACAATTCCACAAGTTGAAAATAAAGAATGTTCATAGCAAAAAGCTGATGGTGGCAATGCTTTGAATTTTCTTAAAGATGGGTTTCACTGAAAAATTTCATTTAGTGGCACAAATAAAGAAATTATTCCATTAATAGAACAAATTATCGATAAAAAATTGAGCTTAGTATCATCAAATATATCAACAACAGTGTTTATAGATTTGATTTCATGCATAAAAGGATCAAGATTGCAAGAACAGAAGGTACATTTTGTGGGGTGCAGCAGCCAAAAGCAAGACAGTTAGGCTCACCTATGTTCTTCTCTGATGTGTTCTTGAAATGAGTTTTATCAAATTTAGGACTAGAGATCGAAGAAAGCCATAATTTACATACACATCTGAATTTGATGGAGATTTCACGGGCAGTCTTGAAATTATATTAAATATGAGTTCTTGAGAAAGGAGTGGAATAGATTCTTCAGGAATTTGGCTATTAGTTCCTTCCTAAAGGTGAGGATCTGTGTGCTCTTCAAATGCCATTGGGGTGTAAAAATGCAAGAAAAGGAGCCACCACCTCTGAGAAAACGCTTATATAGAGAGATGGGCAAAAATTGACGAGCGTCACCATTTTGAAGAATGTGTTCTTTTCAAATAGTTTCTACTGGTTGACTACTGCACAAAGTCATTCAAGCAACTATTTATTTATTAAGTAGAACCAATTTAATTTAATTGGGGTTAATGATATATATTTTTAAAGTCTTAAGGTTAGGGATGCTACCAAAACACAGGATTTCGGAGAACTGTATTAATTTTGAATAGTAAGCTACCAAAACAAGATTGCACACAAAATTTTCTACACGGACTTGGATACTAATATTTCATCCTTTGTTTCCATCTCAAATGAAAGTTTATACAATACACAGTACAAACTGGTGATACAAGTTAATGACAGATTCTTCGAAAGGAAAATAAAAAATCCCGAGAAAGTGTTCAGAGTTGGGACCCGGATGTTCCATTCTTTACCAGTGACCGCTGTCTGGCTCGTTCCATCTTCCTCTTACGCCATTCTTCCAGGGCTGAAAACAAGAAGAAAATAATCTCAAGATATCTAGATTCAGCAAATCATTTTCCTTGACTGATTCTAGCAAAATGCAAATTACACAAACGAAACTGAACAAGCCCTGAATATATAACATGGAATTCATATATAAAAGAGAGATAAAAAGAATCAATAAACAAATAAGGATCTTCAAGGTAACGAGTCGAGAAATATCCTTCTAGATGTAGATAGTATTGCAACGATAAGCAAAAGACATTCACTCATTAGCGGATCACATCTTAAAGCAGTTATCCAAGCGAAGTGTATACAGTTCATCTATCAAAATCTATATAAGCCTTCTCCAGCCCATCAGCACCAAATTTAAAATTGCGGATATCATAGTCTCCAGGAAAGTGGCTAGCATGTTTCCAAATCCACAACAATTCATATGTTTCGATATTTGGTGTGAATGTTGTTTCCTATGTTGTCTAAGTTTTGTTCACGAAGAAACCAGGGTGGGCGATGAAAATGATGAATTTGGAGAAAGAGAGACCATTAGATAAGAAAGATGTTAGTGGAACCGGAACCCATCAGTATCTGGCTTTATATTTACTCAGCAGATAATGATAAATTTTGATTTAAAAATTTCTCTAAGACTGCCTATAATAGAAATTGTATTAGGGCATTGGGTTTAGATCTGGCCATTGCCTTCCACAATCTTTTCGTTTTCTAGATTTTTACATCAACTTCTAATTGACATGTCACTGATCAAACAGAAACTAAAAAAATAAAAAGTAAAGAGAAGACCAAGAATAAAATGAGGTTAGTACGAGTTAAGAGCCTTTTAAGAACTCAATGGACATCAATAGAAGTTAATAAATTGATCACTGCCTCAAAGAAGGGGAGTAAAGTAATTACTTGTGATGAAATAATAGAGGAAAGGGTACTGCTGCTTACCCTAAACACCACTTCACTATATATATTAGAATTCCAGGTTATATGCGTCTATATAGTTATCCATGTGAGGACAAGTACTTATTTTGGAATGATAAAGGCAAGTTTTTCATCTGTCCCTCTTATAGAAAGTGAAATTCATTTTTAAGACAGAGGAAGTATTGAAAGATAGATGCATATTTAGCCTCTTTTTGTTTCCCATTATTTACTCATTAAAATGAAAAATATGACCGTTATTTATCACGTCAAATCATCATATTTGAAATCTATCTTTCGTGTGGAGCTCATAACGGCTATATTTTTTATTCTCATTCTTATATTAATGTGGCTCAAACAGGGCCTTAATTCTAGCAAGGTGACATTTAAAAAAAAGGAGAGGAGGCTCAGAAATAAGGAGAGGAGAATCTACCAATGTTCTAAAAAGAGTAAATAATGACTCGACGTGGTAACCAAGCTTCAAACTTTACGAACCTAGGCAAGGCCTGGGCGTAAAAAAGTGATTTCTTATTTTTAATATTATTTTAAATTTTTAATCATTTTAAAAATTATTTAATAATTAAAATAATACATACCAAACATCTAAAATTATAAAATACTATATTTACTTAATAATTTCTACAATTATTCAATTATACAATTTTCAAGTTTTCGAAATGCAAAAGTTAGATTATTTTTCGTAGTTTTAATTTTTGACTAGAGAAATCTCACTTGAAATTTTCTAACATATTTTCACTTTTTACTTTGGTATGGATAAAGTCATTTAAAAATTTGAAACTAAAGTTAAATAAAATGCTTTTAAAAAAAAAGGAAAAAAAAATTAATAAAGTGCCACTAGGCCCTCATGGCCAAGGCATAGCGTTTTGCTCGAACCTCATGCCTAGGCACTATTTAGGTGGGCCTTTTAGAACATTGGAATCTGCAGAAATCAACAACTTTCAATCTTCCAGTCCACTAGTAGCAGTAACAGATTCCAAACAGTGTCATCCGTCATTAGTCAATATAGATATAGAAATAGCAAGCCACAACGAACAATAGTAGATAAGAGAGGTTGCTTATTAAACTTCAAACCTGACCTCAATGACATTAAGCCCCTGTTTGAGCCTATTATCCAACAACTTTTTTTTTTCATACTCATTTTCAACCACATTCTACTAATAAAATAATTTGCACGTAAACCTAAAACTTTTCCTTACTTGCTAACCACACATTCTCCACAAATCGCTATTACAAAACTCATTTTAACATAAAAATGGGGCTCAAACAAGGGCTAAGGCAAACATATTCTGCTTCTATAGCTTTGCCATCAATTTGAGTCCCACTAGTTTACAGTTATCCTACTCGGATTTAAAGAACATGAATTTAAACATACTACCATTCTAGCAAATGGTCATTTCACGTAACAAATCATAAACAACATAAGATGTACAAGACAACAAAGCAAAGAAAAATTCTAATCCTTGTCTTAACTACAGATGACACACTACTCAATTTCAGCCCGAAGAAGGAAATATTTGCTGCCTGACAATAAAGGGAGGAAATTCTATATTGATATAACTGTCTTCAGAGCATGAACAAATACGAATCGTTAAAGAAAGAAAACAAACCATTATAATGTCTATCACATAATCCCTTTCCAACCTTTCATAAGACTAAGATAGAGACCCAAAGTTTCCCTGGTTGTCATTGCTCTGTTTTGATTAATGATCAGTATTGATGTACATAGTGAAAAGGGCTGCTAGTATTAGCATATACTACAATAACAAGATAACACACGATAATATCTCAAATGCGGATGATTGTCAATAGAGACTAAAGTGTGCAAAAAATCCTGAGTTACAGTAAAATTATAATTCAATAAACAGTCATGATACTCGTATTTTCTTGACATTTATAAAAAAAAAAATAGAGAAAGATGGACTTTCCTGATCAAGGTAGTTTAGTACCGTACTCATTAGAAAGGAAATTGGACATTCTAGTATCTTAACTTTGAGAATGTTAACTTTGATGCAATTTAGCATCTTTCAAATTCTATCTCTGCATTTATGTTATGGGTTTCTGTTAGTTTTGTAAACTCAGCACCAGAACAAATTTCTAGTGAAATAGATTTACAGCAACCAATTACCTACAAATTTGAGCACTAGTGCATCTACTTACGTCAAGGAATGTATATTGGGAAAACATGGTAGCACCCATTTCTTTCTTTGTAGCAAATCATAGTCCTTAACAGGCAGAGCCGAAGTTATTGCATAGGAATGGGGGGAGAGATAGAGAGAAGAAAAAAGGAAAACTAGAAAAATGCAAGGAACCAAACATCACCTTTCACATTGCCAGCATCTGAATATGAATGAAAATTGTTCAGCCTGGATATAAGGTCAGCTGCAGCTGTCTGCTTAGAATCTCTTTTCGGGACAGGCTCTGTTCCAACATATGCTTCTTTTTCAATTTCTCGAACCTAAAAACGAGGAGACAGAATAGGTGATGACAGATGCCACTCAAATACAACATATTACATAGGGTTCTACTCTCTAGTCTCTAGTGTCAAATGCGTGGAAATATTAACTGCATATAAAATATAGAAGCGGCTAATGAAAGCTAGATAAAGAGCATGAGCAATAAACGTGGATCAGCCTTTCTTCCTTATTTAAGAGGCAACTTGGACAAGTTAATAGTAACAAAAATTAAGAAAAACTTAAATGGTCATACTCACTCTTTTGATCAGATCCAGAGGCACCATGGAATGGCGAATGTCTTCAGATTCTTTTATATGCCTGTATAAGGCTGTATTCCAAAGTTCATGAGCAATAACACTACTCATTGAAAGCTATATTTGTCTAAAACAGAAAATAAATTTCGCAATGTATAGTTGATCATGACTAAATAGATAGAATATTAAATATACATACATACATACACTTACTTTACTAACCAATTAAGTTCTTGATCTTGTGAAGCCTCAGGAATTTACAGCAATTGCCAATAACTCACTAAAATTTATGTTGTGGAACTAAAATTAAAAAATTCTCAACATAAAAAATGTAAATACCAGCAAACATTTAGATCGTAACTGCAACAGACAATTCTGAAAATTAAACTTCGCTTAACCAATAATTTCTTCCCCAGAATCCTCATATATTGTCAAATAAAATTCTGTAAAATATCACAAATTAACTTAATCCTTTTAATTACAGGTTAATATCAGAAACCAGTCTTAAAAAACCCAAGATTTTCACCCAATTTGCTCCCCCTTGTTACTCGTTCAAATATTCACAAATAAACACGATAAATTTCGTTTCCCCAAAAACCCATATGCCCAATAAATCAAAAAATCAGAAGCCAAAAACGCCTTTAAATTTCTTAATTGAAGTAGTAGATACAATAGGGGAAAAAAATTAAGCAAAACCTTTATGAGATGAGGAGGGGATATTGAGGAAGCCTTGAAGCAAGAAAAGGGCAGTGATAACATTGAATAAGCAGACAATAATTGTGGCATTCCTGTAAGATAGCCATGACTTGATCACTCTCCCCCATTGCTGTTGCTGGATTTTCTCCATTTTTTGTTATTTGTTATTATCTGTTGCTGGATTTCATTAATTTATGAAAATAATTTGTTTTCTGGTGCAGCATCCAGGTCTTTGATTTCGAGTTGACATCTTTGGACCCATTTATTGTATATTCAATATAATTAATTATTTGCACATCATTTTAATTTAAAATAATTGTTAAAGTTAGAAAATTAAAATGGATTACATGTAATTTAAAATAATGTGTCAATAATTAATTAAATGAACAGTAAGTTGAAGAGTAGATCTTAACTCATTTTTGTACTGTTGCTACTTGGTAGTTATATTGTCTATTTGTTAAATATAATCTAATTGTTAAATATTGTTCATTATCTGTATAAATATAGTTCAATTTTTTAGTTATTGGATTCTAATTTAATTTGATAATTATGTTCCTGGATTTGAATTTTGAGCAATTTAATTTTGAATTTTCGTAAATAAATTTATACTGATAACATAGAATTATAACTGAAATTAGATGCAACTGAACTGGATTTAAGTTTGCACATAGATGAATATAGACACTAAGCTCTTGTTTGAAGGGAATTTTTAGTGGATTGTGGTTGAAAAGTTATGAAATCAAATAGATATATTGTAAATATTAATTATTGAATTTGACCTAGATTTAATTCTAGATTTAAATTCAGACCAAACGGAGACTAAACCAAGTTTTTATCCTTTTCTAACCTCTTGGATTGCAAGCTAACTAACTTGTACTTGAATTTCATGAGATTGTTTCACATCTCCAACTTGCACTCGAGATAGAAAGGCATGCACCTACAGGAACGGATCCAGAATTGGATCCAAGACTGAGCTACAAGATTTCAAACCGAGTTACTGTGCAGAAAAAAATTACACATAAAAAACTGATTTTTTATCAAAAAAAAAATACGTTAAAAAAATGTTCTTGGACCTGAGGAGGGGAGGGGGCTAGACCCAAAAAAAAATCCGTCTCTGTCAGCACCTATATCTATTCATTCTTTACTCCAATTTTTTCAACACGCCTATTAGCAACCACCTCATTAGGAATTAGCCCACATTGCTTATCTCAAATGGAGTAATGAGAGATGCGAAATTACAACTACCATATAGAGGCAATACAAGAGCAAACTATCTATGAATCTAGAGTGTCAACCTTGATAAAGTCCGACCAATGTCAAACAACAAGAACATTTTTAAGAGACTTTTTAAATATGAGATAATCTCTATTTTAAAGAGTTAATCCTAAAATCATGCTCTAAGAAACTCTTTAAACTAATATTTTAGTTTAAATGTAGGGAAATAATAAAATAATTTAGAAAAAATCTAGTTAAAATGAAAAGATAGAGAAAAATAATAATTATTTTTTTGAAGTAATAAAATTAAGTGTTAAATATGAAGAGTTTTTTGAAATAACTCAAAATTTTAACTCTCTATATTTATAGATAATATTCAATAGATATAATATACTCTTTAAAAATAGAAAGTTTTTTGTGCAAGGAACTCTTTAAACATGAAATACACTCTATTTTAATGAGTCAACTATTTTAAAAATTTAACTCTTAAAATCATGTTCTAAGAGGCTCTTTAAATTAATATTTTAATTTAGAATATGAGTTTAACTTTTCAGTCAAACTCACTCTCTATAATTAAATGCATTCAAAGTGTTTCAATTTTTAATATAGAAAAATATAATATAATCTTTGAAAAGTTTGTTAAAATAAAATATAAAGAAAAATAAAAAATATTTTTTTAAAGTAGTAAAATTAAGTGTTAAATATAACGAGTTTGTTGGAAAATTTCAAAATTTTAACTCTCTAAATATATAGACGCTTTTCAAATGATAGAATATACTCTTTAAAAATAAAGAGTCTCTTAAAAATACTGAAGACTCTAACTAGAGGTTGGTAGGTAAATGGTTCGTTGTCGAGCCATTGACTTGTAAATCAAGTACATGACTTTGTCAAGTAGATATTAATAGCCAACTTGTTCTAAGTTTATTGACATAGTCGCCAAACTTTTTTTTTTTTTTGTATATGGGTTGATGCTAAGTCAAAATGTATGATACATTATTTATATTAGTCGATTGTTAAAAATAACTTTCGTTTAAATTAATAGTTATATTTTAAGAGTCATAATCGTTCAAAGATATTTATAAGTTAATTATGAGAGAAAGTCTATACAAATACATATTAAATTCATCTTTGCATATTACAAATAGCTTTGCGGCATGGTTACATTAATAGATAATATCTTATGTAATTTAAATTATTTGACACTTTCTTGTCTATTTATGCATTAATTTCAATGTCACTAAGAAATTAAAAAAGAAACTTTTAATTAAAAAACATTATAACAACAAATTGAATAAGCATTGAGAGTCCCATAATTTTTTTATTTTTCATTTTTTTTTTGTAAATGGGTTTTTTTTTTTTTTTTTTTTTGAGATTATTACATGTTGTAAAACGAAGTCGAAATATTGCGTTTTTAATACCATTTCAAAGTACTCACGCCATAATTTTTCACATCGTTAATGACACGTGAAACAATAAATCGTAGCAAATATATAGGTCGTCAAAGTAGCCGTTCTAAACTAGTATTTCGAGAATTTCAATAAATGCTAAACTTACAAATTTTTCGACGATCGTATGCTTGCCGATTCTACCAATCGCTTACCTCATCTAGAAGCTCATTTCGAGATCTGCATCATAGACATATCAAATTATCTAAACGGATATCAAAATTAATTAAAGGTACGTCAAACATGCGTCTTAAAAAGAGACAACTAACTTGTATTTTCTTTAAGAAATTTCAATTATTTCAATAATATTTGTGCGACAAATTTCTCAATATAATTTACATCATTTTATTAGAAAATTTTACATAGAATATGACATCAAAAAATTTCGAAATTTATATCCGAAAAAAGTCATACTCCATGCAAATTTTTTAAAGTAAAATTCTTCACAATTTTTTTTTCAAGTTTAATTGTACTCCCTATCTCAAAATGTCTTCATCCGCCATTGAAAGTCAACTAAAACATTCATTTGTTCTAGCAATTAATGAAAACTGTAGAATATTTATTTTAAAATTTTGTATAAGAATAACAATATTTCTTACTTCAAGAAAATTAATAAGTAAATGTCACCACAGAAATTGAGAAAAATGAAAATTATCATCCCTAATCGTGAATGTCTTTTGATCTTTGTAGTTTTAGCCACCCATTTAAGCCTTTATGGTGCTACCACCAAGTGTACACAAATAGGCTTGTCTTCTTAACGAACTCCGATACGTATAATTTAATTTTATGAATAGAGATTAATCTCATTTTTTGTTCTACACTAGTGTAATGCCAAGGGCGGACTCATTAAGGACCGAACGGGGTTGGTAGCCTTCATTGAATTTTCAAAAACCTTCAATTGGGTTTTTTATAATTTAAATTTTCAGATTTTTTTTCTTTCACAATTTATTTTAGCCTATTTTCAGTCTCACCTCCACTAAATCATAATTCTGGGTTCACCCTTGGATGTGGCAGTATTGGTTCTACCACTTCCAAAATTTCTTTAAGTAGATTCTCATTTTGATTTTCTACACAAAGTTGGCTCAAATTTATAGATCAAACTTGCTTTCGTAGGTTAAGCCCCTGTTTGAGTCCCATTTTTGGACTAAAATGCATTTTAGAATATTTCTTGTTGGAGAATTTATGGTTAAAAAAATAAAAAACTTTGAGCTTACGTATAAAATTATTTTATGAAAGGTTGTGTGGTGGAAAATAAGTTTTGAAAAAATAAGGGGGTATTCGCTTTGCGTTTCTGTTTTCCATTTTCTGTTTTGAATTCGTTTTCTATTTTATGTTTTGAGGCCTTATTTTGAGATTGTCAAAAACGCGCTTGGTTTATCATTTTGAAAAATGATTTCTCAAAACGAAAAATTAGAAAACATGTTTGATTTAAAAATTTTTGGAAACATTTGTACAGTTCTCTCTTTCAATCTCAATATTGCCACCTCCAAAACGCCACTTTCCGGCCACCATGGCCACCGGATCATAGCACGAACTTGAAGCCCGCAATGTCATCTACAACCCCAACCCAATAGCAGGCCTAACTCCGGCCGAACAGGCTGGAATTTCTGCTCAAAAGAGACCAGTCGAGAGTGAAAAGAACAGCCGAAAACTCCCATTCCAGCGACAATTTCTGCTTCAATTGATGAAATTGAAGTGTTACCCATGGTTGTAGGGACATGATTAATACTTGACTGATGCCAATCGCCAGAAACCTGAATCGAAGCATGCAGGTTCGTTCGCGATTGCCGTCTTTGCACTGAAACACATTAGAACGAATTAGTGCATTATTGGTTGATGTTAGGACATGGTATTGATCGCCTGGATGAAGGCTATCCAGTGTTGGTGGTGCACGACCGTGGGCGTTGCGGGAGATAGATATTCCAGCAGAAAAGGGGTTGCGACATTCATTTTTTTGGGCTGGATTTTTTGTTGCTTCGTGTTGATTTGTGGCTAGTGGTTGGTCGGAGATTGTAGAGGGGAAGGAGGCGAGGCTAATGGTGGCTGCATCCGGTGGTTTGGCAGTCGGAAGGTGGTGGTTTGGCGACCGGAAAAGTGAGTAGAAGGAGAGAGCCGAGAGAGGAACAGTGAGGGGAATTTCTTAAGTTTGAACAGTGGAAGAGGAATTACCGTGTTTTGGATGTTTTTCATGTTTTGGGCCATTTGCACTGAAAACACTCAAAATGCCAAAAATCCGTTTTGTGTTTTCTTTGAAAAATTTTCTCTTGTTTACAAAAATGCGTTTTCGAAAATAGCTTGCCAAATGCGTTTTTCGTTTTTTAGAAAATGTAAAATGGCCCGAAAACGACAAAGGGAACGCACCCTAAATTTTGGAAAAATGGAGGGCAAACACATGCTAAATTTTTAAATTATTATGTTTTAAAGATAATTAACTAAAACTGTTCATAAACTTTAATATTTTTTTTTTACTGTTATTAATTATAAAAAGGCTTTTTTCCATACGAAAAACAAAGGCAAAAACATATAAATTTTGAAAATTGGGGACCTTAGATAAATTGGAGGTCTTTGGCGACCAACTAACTCCCCTAATGCTTGAGCGACTCTAATTGTGTGTTCTCAATAATCCCGTAATTAGCTTCTTTTCATGTATCATCAACTCCATTCTTCCACTTATTTCTTTAGGACACCGATTTATATTTGAAGAGTAATGAAGGCGCACCGTTCTATTCTGAATCAACTAGATCTCTCCAAGTAGGATTTAAACCTTCAATCAATTGGTAAACAATCGATCGCTCAACCACTTATCTATTGAGGAACAATGGAAGATTAGAGATAATAATAGAGTCAATTCTCATTCTCAATCCATGTCCAATATGGTCTGGAAGCTTCCTTGATAATACTTGAACACAAGAATTTCGTCACCTATGTGTTCAGCTTGACCACTTCATGTAAAAACTACACAAAAAAATGCAACTTGACTAAAATAAATACAATGAAAATGGAAGGAACTTGCTGCCAACTAGGGTCACGTTATTTCTCCTCATCTCAAGGTGGCAAAAAAAATTAAGTCAACTTATCTGTAATATGATACTATCCTCATATTATTGCATGATCAAGGTTCTGTCCAAGACTCCATAGATAGCAATCAAATTCAGTTTAGTAAACCTTATAATCCACAAACTTTTTTCATTCTTCTCAAATTTTTAGACCAAGAAATGGATAGACTGCGTGCAATTGCTGATGCTCATTACAGAGCTGGCTCGCCACAAGTTAAGACATTGGCATATGATTTCTTCAAAGCACTGGACACTGATGGAGATGGACGGGTGAGCCTGGCCGAGTTCTTGGCATTCATGACTCAGCAAGGTTGAAAACACCCCTTCAAAAGAAATTTAGATTCATATTTTCTATCAAAGTTTTAACACGTGCACAATTGTTTGAACACAATTCTTTTATCTACTCTAGTATGATATTAACCAAATGGGACGAACTTATTTATTTAAATTATGTCTTCAATAGGTTACACGCGCTTCAACAATCCGTATTTGTTCAGGGAGCTCGACCGGGATGGAAATGGCAGTCTTGATTTTTGGGAGGTTTTGACACTATTCTACATAGTTAAAAGTGGAAGGCCTCTTTGTAACTGTTGTGGGATTCTTATACCAGGGACCTTTTTTTCGTGCATCGAGTGTTTTGAGAGTTCAGACTCGTATTCTTTGTGTATTTATTGTTACCGGTCTAATAAGAGTAAGCACTACCACAATGGTCGCCAACAATTCTTGGATACCTTCACTTTGTTAGAAATGAAGAAAAATTCAGCTATTAAAGGAAAGGCAAACCAGAATCAGGTAATGTAAAAAACAAACATATTTTTCACTTAGTATTTAAGCAGTTTGGACTTCTCTTCTTTTAAATCTTATTTTCAATAAATTATTGCAGCTAATAAAGTTTATAGAGAACAATGCATAATGTGTTGGGGTCAAAGTTGTCATAGAATTCGTATCAAGATACATAATTGACTAAGAGGCCGTGTTTGATTGGTAAATTAAGCGCATCTAAAGAGTTTGTAAAAGTTTTTATTTATTTTGAAGGTCTCGTGTGATAAGAGTACAATGTCTTATTTGAACTCAATTCATATTCGGATATGGATAGAGATGAATATTCCATTATCTCCTAGTAAATAGAATCTGAGACATGGGGCTTCGAGAGCAAGATCTCGAGTTTTTTACTATACGTAGATTATATCGAAATCAACATGAGGGTAAAAATATTGTTCATCACTCAATTTGCAGTAATGTTCCATTTGAGTCACGTACACGCCAAATTCGTGCACAATTTTCTTGGAACTTATGTATGCTCTGATACAGTGTTTTTAACCGCTTAGCTCTACAAATTTAAGTTCGTTAAACAAAATATAAATTTATTTATTCAAAATTTGTCTTCAAATGTAATTGAGGTCGCTTTATTTTGCTTTCATATTGTCATGTTTTATGCTTGTTGCAGCAAACCACTTGGCATTCAACAAGTCAGTTCATGGTTCCACAAACACCAACTCATATTCATATTAATGTTGGGCATCCTACAAGTCCTCTTCACACACCAAATGCTGTCCAAGCAGCAAAAATTGTGAGTGATCTCTTTTTATCAACTTCTCATCCATTATAAACGATCAAATATTTTTTTCGTCACTCCATCTAAGACTTTAAATTTTATTTATTCACGTGCATGTTGCATCCATTTCTCAATCAAAATTAACTGTAACTCAATATCTTTGAATACTTATATATCACATTGAATTCAACTCATTTAACAATTTGAACTATCAAAGAGTGAATTTTAAACGTCTCTTTTCACGTACAGTATCTATACCTCGTCTATACAATTCGACACGAAAAGAACTCACTAATCTATATTTGGTTCCCAAATTTTGCAGAATAAATGGAAGGCTGCACTGAGAGCATTTGAGATAGCACTGAGCATTGGAAGCATTTCAACAACTCTATGTACAATCTTGTAATACATGCACTTGTAGGTTTTTGTTTTTTGGTCTGTCCAATTTCAGCTGCATTTATGAGATTTTATATTCCTCATTTCTGTGTTTTTTGTTTTTATTTTGTAATCCAGGAGACAAAAATTTAAGTGTAAAAACTATTTTGTCAAATATAATCTTATTTGTGTCAATATTGTTTTAATAACCTTAATTTATATAAATTTTTTTTTTTTTGAAATTCTTATTCTATGTGCCATGTAATTGTTAGATCAACCTTATTAAGGCCATGTTTGAGCCCCATTAATTTGAAGAAACGTGTTATGGAATAGTGATTGATATAAAATATGTAGTTAAAAAAAGAAGAAATTTTTTTTTATTTGCGTGTGATATTATTTTAATGGAGAATATATGATTAAAAATGAGTACTGTAGAAAAAATAATATGAAAGAATGTAAAGTAAAAGATGACAAACAGGGGCTAAGAGCATTATTTCAAACTAGCGATGGAGTCAAGAACTAAGTTCAAGAAAAAATACTAATTTAGTGGATTAAACCTCTTTATGTTGATTATCATTTCATATTCGAAAGACGAGAGATTTTAAACTTGGTATCCAAGAAATGTGTGATTTTACCTTTTACATTATATCATCAATGGCTTGTCGAAGAACAAAAACTGGAACACAATAATTTGACAATTCCCAGAAAAATAATTTCTAGACAATTCAATTTCCTGAAATTCGTTTTCTTTCCACCCAATTTCCATCTTTGCAATCAAACGGACCCTTAACTCATTTTTGTATTGTTGCTACTTGGTAGTTATATTGTCTACTTGCTAAATATAATCTAATTGTTAAATATTGTCCATTATCTGTATAAAAATAGTTCAATTGTTTAGTTACTGGATTCTAATTTAATTTGATCATTATGTTCTTGGATTTGAAATTTGAGCAATTTGATTTTGAATTTTATAACTATATTTAAATTCATAACATAGAATTATAACTGAAACTGGATGCAATTGAATTGGATTTAAGTTTGCAAATAAATGAATATGGACACTAAGCTCTTGTTTGAAAGAAATTTCTAGTAGATTTTGATAAAAGTTGATGAAATGTGTGATTGAAAAGTTATGAAATCAAATAGATGTATTGTTAATATTAATTATTGAATATGACCTAGATTTTACTTCAAACCAAAGAGAGGCTAAACCAAGTTTTTATCCTTTTTATTGCCTCTTAGATTGCTAGCTAACTTACTTGTACTTGAATTCCATGAGATCACTTCACATCTCATTCCTGCACTCGAGATAGAAAAATGTTCTAATGCATACACCTACATCTATTCATTCTTTACTACAACTTTCTCAGCACACCTATTAGCAACCACCTCATTGGGAATCAGCCCTGATTGCTGATCTCAAATGGAGTAATAAGAAGATGCGAAATTTCAACTACCATATAGAGGCAATACAAGAGCAGACGATCTATGAATCTAGAGTGTCAACCTTGATAAAGTCCGACCAATGTCAAACAACAAGATATGCACATATAAGAACATTTTCAGAAGACTTTTTAAGTATGAGATACTCTCTATTTTAAAGAATTAACCCTAAAATCATATTTTAAGAGACTCTTTAAATTAACATTTTAGTTTAAATGTAGGGAAATAATAAAATAATCTAGAGAAAATCTAGTTAAAATAAAAAGATAGAGAAAAATAATAAATATTTTTTTGGAATAGTAAAATTAAGTGTTAAATATAAAGAGTTTCTTGAAATAATTCAAAATTTTAACTCTCTATATTTATAGATGCTATCCAATCGATAGAATATATTCTTTAAAAATAGAGAATTTCTTATCCAAAAGACTATTTAAATATGAAACACCCTCTATTTTAATGAGTCAACTATTTTAAATTGTCAACTCTTAAAATCATGCTCCAAAAAACTCTTTAAATTAATATTTTAATTTAGAGTCAAACTCGCTCTCTATAATTAAATGCATTCAAAGTGTTTCAAGTTTTAATGTAGAAAAATATAATATAATCTTTGAAAAGTTTGTTAAAATAAAATATAGAGAAAAATAATAAATAATTTTTTAAAGTGGTAAAATTAAATATTAAATATAAAGAGTTTGTTGGAAAATTTCAAAATTTAACTCTCTAAATATATAAATGATCTTCGAATAATAGAATATTTTCTTTAAAAATAAAGAATCTCTTGAAAATAATTCGGACTCTAACTAGAGATTAGTTGGTAAATGGTTGGTTGTCGAGCCATTGACTTGTAAATCAAGTACATTACTTTGTCAACTAGATATTAATAGCCAACTTGTTCCAAGTTTATTGACATTGTCACCAAACATTGTTTTTTTTCTTTTTTATATGGGTTGATGCTAAGTCAAAATGTATGATACATTATGTATATTAGTTGATTGTTAAAAATAACTTTCGTTTAAATTAATAGTTATATTTTAAGAGTCATAATCGTTCAAAGATATTTAAAAGTTAATTATGAGAGAGTCTATACAAATACATATTGAATTCATCATATTACAAAGGGAAAATTGCAGTCGAGGTATCAAACATTTCGTTTATTAGCAGACTTTGCCCAAACCTTTAGTTTGTGCCATCCACAGTCCAAACATTTCAAAAATATGCACCGGAGGTTCAATTGGATGGAAACCATCCGTTTGACAGTTAGTTGACTAGAAAAGTCAAATTTTGACCAATTTGGACCAAATTGGAAAGGGCAAAGTGGTACTTTGCATTTTTTCTTAATATTAATAATTAAAATAATTAATAATAACAATAGAAAAGTAAAAACAAAATAAATAAAAATAAAAATAAAAAAAGAAAGGGAATACTGTTCATCTTCATCTTCACCTTCACCCCACCCCGCCCCATCCCATCCCATCTCATCGATCTCAGATCCAAATCCAGATCCGACCAGAGTGGCCAGCGGAACAACTGGTGGTGCTTCAAATTCAAGGATAGATCCACCCCCACAGCCACATGATCCACCAGCAACATCTTCCAACCCTACTAATACTATTAGATATAATGAATGCCTAAAGAATCATGCTGCAAGTGTAGTAGGTCATGTTTTAGATGGATGTGGAGAATTCACGCCCAATGGAGAAGAGGGCACCCCAGAAGCCTTAAGATGTGCTGCTTGTGATTGCCACCAGAGTTTCCATCGAAGAGAGGCCGACGGAGAGCCACAAACTGGCACGTCTCACTACTACACATACAATCCCAACTTCAGCAATAACAATATCCATAGGAACCTGTTATTTCCTCTGCAGAATCAGCATTTTACTTGAGTAAGGGGGTGGGGTGGGGGGGGGTGGGGTGGGGTAGGTTGGGGTGAAGGTGAAGATGAACAGTATTCCCTTTCTTTCTTTTTTTTATTTTTTTTTATTTTGTTTTTACTTTTCTATTGTTATTATTAATTATTTTAATTATTAATATTAAGAAAAAATGTAAAATACCACTTTTCCCTTTTCAATTTGGTCCAAATTGGTCAAATTCTGACTTTTCTAGTCAACTAACGGTCAAACGGATGGTTTCCATTCATTTGAACATTCGGTGCACATTTTTGAAAGGTTTGGGATTGTGGTTGGCAAAAATTAAAGGTTTGGGTAAAGTCTACTAATAAACGAAAAGTTTGGTACCTCGATTGCAATTTTCCCTATTTCAAATTTACAAATAGCTTTGTGGCATGGTTACGTTAATAGATAATATCTTATGTCATTTAAATTATCTGACACTTTCTTGTCTATTTATGCATTAATTTCAATGTCACTAAGAAATTAAAAAGGAAACTTTTATTTAAAAAATATATATATTATAACAACAGATTGAATAAGTATTGAGAGTCCCATAAGTTTTTTATTTTTTTTTTTATTTTATTATTATTATTTTTTTTTTTTTTTTTTTTTTGAAGAAATGAAAAGTTCCAACTATATATAAGAATACTAGACCTGAATGGGTCAAAGTCAACCACTGACGGACACAAGGACGATCACATGATCTCAATTTTTTGGGCTTTTTTTTTTTTTTTGGGATTATTGCAGGATGTAAAACAAAGTCGAAATATTGTAATTTTAATATCATTTCAAAGTACTCATAGCATAATTTTTCACATCGTTAATGACACGCGGAACAATAAATTGTAGCAAATATACAGGTCGTCAAAGTAGCTGTTCCAAACTAGTATTTTGAGAATTTTGACAAATGCTAACTTTACAAATTTTTCGACGATCATATGCTAGCCGATTCTACCAATCGCCTACCCCATCTAGAAGCTCATTTCGAGATCTGCATCATAGACATATCGAATTATTTAAACGGATATCGAAATTAATTAAAGGTACGTCAAACATACGTCTTAAAAGAGACAACTAACTTGTCTTTTCTTTAAGAAATTTCAATTATTTCAATAATATTTAGCCGCCATTTATTTTTCATTCTTTCTCCATTAAAATAAAAAATATGGCTGTTATCCATCACATCAAACCACCAAATTTGAATTTCTATCTCTTCTGTGAGGTCCATAACGGCGATATTTTTCATTCTCATTTTTACAAAAATGAGAAATAGACGCCTTCTTAATATTTTTGTACGACAAATTTCTCAATATAATTTACATCATTTTATTAAGAAATTTTACATAGGATATGACATCAAAAATTTTCGAAATTTACATCCAAAAAAGTCATAATCCATGCAAGTTTTTGAAAGTAGAAATCTTCACAATTTTTTATTTTTTTTAAGTTTAATTGTACTCCCTCACTCAAAATGTCTTCATCCGCCGTTGAAAGTCAACTAAAACATTCATTTGTTCTAGCAATTAATAAAAAGGATAATTGGCACAAAACGTCCCTGCTTTTAAGGTTTATTGAGGAAAATGTCCCCACTTTTCATTTTTTTGGCATTTTTGCCCTTATTTCCACATTTCTTTGTGGAAAAAGTCATTTTCACCATTTTTTAATGTAAAATGACTAAAATTCCCTTCCATTTAAGTAAAACCCAAAAAAAAGAAAAGAAAAATAATGAATAAATTACAATCTTACTCCTAAATGTTTTAAAAGGTGCAAGTAAGTTCAAATAATTATTAAAAGGCCTGATAGTACAAAAAGTCCCTACATTTGGTTTATAGTGTGAAAAATGTCCTTACGTTTCAAATTGGTGAAATAGACGTTTTCCGCAATGAAATGTGAAAATAAGGATGAAAAAGCAAAAAAATTGAAACATAGGGACATTTTCCACAAGAAATGTCAAATGTAGGGATTTTTTTGCTATTATGACTTATTAAAATATTAAAAAAAAATACATCTATCTTCTCTTCTTCTCTAAATGGCACTGCCGCATTAGAAGTGAAAAAACTTCGACTAACCATCACCCAAATCGTCGAACTTCCATATCGCTAAACCATCTGTGATATTTTTAGACCATGAAGAGGCGCTCTAGTGAGTATAGTCAATTGGTGTGTTGGAAATGGCATGGGTCTCTTCGAAATAGGTGATGCCTCCAGTATATACATTCGCGAGTTAGGTATTTTGGCTTGCAATTCCTAACAAATCTATTGGCATGAAGGTTTCAAGATTGGATGATGGGTAGTATGTGAAGAAGGAAGTGAGGGCTTTTCGGTGGTATGGTAGTCCAACAGTTTGGATGGTGGTTTGCTAGAGTTTTTTGACTTCTAAGGTGGTTGGCCCATTTGGGGAAGAAGAGAAGAGAGGGAGAGGGGGAGAGAGAGAGAGAGAGAGAGAGTTTTTATTATTTTTAATATTTTAGTAATGCCTAATAGCAAATAACATCCTTACGTTTGATACTTTGCAGAAAAACGTCTCAACTTTTCAATTTTATTGCACTTTCATCCATATTTCCACGTTTCATTGCGGAAAACATCCCTTTCACCAATTTAAAACTTAGGGATGTTTTTCACACTATAGACCAAATGTAGGAACGTTTTGTGCTATTAGGCCTTTTAATAATTATTTGGACTCACTTGCACTTTTTAAAATATTTAGGAGTAAGATTGTAATTTTTTTTAATTTTTTATTTATTTTTCTTTTCTTTATTTTTGGGTTATATTTAAATATGAGGGTATTTTGGTCATTTTACTTTAAAAAATGGTAAAAATGACGTTTTCCGCAAAGAAAGGTGAAAATAAGGGTAAAATGCCAAAAAATGAAAGGTGATGACGTTTTCCACAATAAACCTTAAAGGTAAGGGCGTATTACGCCAATTACCCTTAATGAAAACTGTAGAATATTTATTTTAAAATTTTTGTATTAGAATAACAATATTTTTTACATCAAGAAAATTAATAAGTAAATGTCACCACAGAAATTGAGAAAAATGAAAATTATCATCCCTAATCGTGAATGTCTTTTGATTTTTCTAGTTTTAGCCACCCATTTAAGCCTTTATGGTGCTACCACCCAAGTGTTATCAAACTCGAATACGTATAATTTTATAAATAGATTAATCTCATTTTTCGTTGTACACTAGTGTAATGCCAAGGGCGGACCCATTAAGGACCAAGCGGGGTTGGTAGCCTTCATTGAATTTTCTAAAACCTTCAATTGATTTTTTTTTTTAATTTAAATTTTCAGATTTTTATTTTTATTTTTATTTTTTTGTTTCTTTCACAATTTATTTTGGCCTATTTTCAATCTCACCTCCACTGAACCATGATTTTGGGTCCGTCCCTGGATGTGGCAGTATTGGTGCTAACACTTCCAAAATTTCTTTAAATAGATTCTCATTTTGATTGTCTATACAAAGTTGGCTCAAATTTATAGATTAAACTTGCTTTGGGGTTAAGCCACCCGTTTGAGTCCCACTTTTGGACCAAAATGCATTTTAGAATATTTTTTGTTGGAGAATTTATGGTTAAAAAATAAGAAAAAGTTTTGGCCTTACAAGTAAAATTATTTTATGGGAGTGTGTGGTGGAAAATAAGTTTTTGAAAAATGAAGGCCAAACACATGCTAAATTCTTAAATTATTATGTTTTTAACGATAACTAACTAAAACCGTTCATAATCTTTAATTATTATTTTTTTTACTGTTATTAACATGAGGGTAAAAACATTGTTCATCACTCAATTTGCAGTAATGTTCCATTTTAGTCACGTACACGCCAAATTCGTGCACAATTTTCTTGGAACCTATGTATGCTCTGATACTGTGTTTTTAACCGCTTACCTCTACAAATTTAAGTTCGTTAAACAAAAAATAAATTTATTTATTCAAAATTTGTCTTCAAATGTAATTGAGGTCGCTTTATTTTGCTTTCATATTGTCATGTTTTATGCTTGTTGCAGCAAACCACTTGGCATTCAACAAGTCAGTTCATGGTTCCACAAACACCAACTCATATTCATATTAATGTTGGGCATCCTACAAGTCCTCTTCACACACCAAATGCTGTCCAAGCAGCAAAAATTGTGAGTGATCTCTTTTTATCAACTTCTCATCCATTATAAATGATCAAATATTTTTTTCGTCACTCCATCTAAGACTTTAAATTTTATTTATTCACGTGCATGTTGCATCCATTTCTCAATCAAAATTAACTTGTAACTCAATATCTTTGAATACTTATATATCACATTGAATTCAACTCATTTAACAATTTGAACTATCAAAGAGTGAATTTTAAACGTCTCTTTTCACGTACTGTATCTATACCTCGTCTATACAATTCGACACGAAAAGAACTCACTAATCTATATTTGGTTCCCAAATTTTGCAGAATAAATGGAAGGCTGCACTGAGAGCATTTGAGATAGCACTGAGCATTGGAAGCATTTCAACAACTCTATGTACAATCTTGTAATACATGCACTTGTAGGTTTTTGTTTTTTGGTCTGTCCAATTTCAGCTGCATTTATGAGATTTTATATTCCTCATTTCTGTGTTTTTTGTTCTTATTTTGTAATCCAAGAGACAAGAATTTAAGTGCAAAAACTATTTTGTCAAATATAATCTTATTTGTGTCAATATTGTTTTAATAACCTTTATATAATTTTTTTTTAATTCTTATTCTACGTGCCATGTAGTTGTTAGATCAAGCTTATTAAGGCCACATTTGAGCCCCATTAATTTGAAGAAACGTATTATGAAATAGTGACTGATGGAGAATATGTAGTTAAAAATGAATGTTTTTTTATTTGCATGTAACATTGTTTTAATGAAGAATATGTGGTTAAAAATGAATGCTGTAGAAATAATAATATGAAAGAATGTAAAGTAAAGAATGACAAATAGGGGCTAAGAGCATTATTTCAAACTAGTGATGGAGTCAAGAACTAAGTTCAAGAAAAAAATACTAATTTAGTGGATTAAACCTCTTTATGTTGATCATCATTCCATATTCGAAAGACGAGATTTTAAACTTGGTATCCAAGAAATGCGTGATTTTACCTTTTACATGATATCATCAATGGCTTGTTGAAGAACAAAAACTTAGAATCCTTTAAGATAATAATTATCACTGGCTTGTTGAATAACAAAAATCTAGGAATTCAAGTGAATCTTTTGTAAGCTTTTGGGATATGATATTTATTTAAGTCGCGGGATTCTACTTTAAAAATATTTAAAAAAAAATAGTTTAAATCCATAGCGATTTTAACAAGCAGTAATCGCAACCATAGTATAACGCGTTGTGCCCTTGGCTCAATTTTAGACCTTTTTATTTGCATTACATGGGACATGAGTTTAACATGGAATCATACTTGAAGGCTATTCGTGCTCCTCTTGCCAATCAAGGAACAATCTCTTAGGTGGGCTACCGATCAAGTTGGACTGGGCGTCCATGTCACAAACTCTCTCCAACCTAAAATCTCATTATAGATCAAATTGAGATAGATCCAGTTTTTTATCAAATCACAAAATCTTAAAGCTAATAAAATAATTAGTAGGGGAAAGGACTAGCTTTCCTCCTTAGGAGGGTCCGAATCGACTTCAAGTTATCGATTTGCTAGCTTTCTTTAACGGTAGAATCTCTCCCCTTTTGCGGGGAAGTGCTATTCATAATAATTATAATATTTATTGGGGTAATTTGTCAAATATCATACCTTGAACAGCACCAACAAATTAATAAATAATTGAAGTGAGATAAAAAATAATAATAATAAAATGTAGTAGAAGAAAGAAAAAAATAAAATAAATAAAACTCTTTTTAAGGTAAATATAAATTTGTTAAATATACATCTTAAAAATATAAATATACACCAAGCAAATTTCAAGGTTTATCTCTGCCTCGCGCTGTACCAGTGTCCCACCTATGGCATCCATTGGTTCTTCATACTCTTGATTACAAAATTACTTTCCGGGTATTCAAAACTCGTACCTTTTCTCATCAATTTTTGTTCAAAGTTGCCAACTTTTTGTATTCCGTTATTTTGGATGAATTTCGTTTATCTGCAAGTTCTTTTTCCTTAAAAAAAAAAAATGCCTTCTGGGCTTTGAATGCTTATGGCTTTTATTCTCCGTTTTTTGTTTAATTCGTGTACTGTTCTTCATATTGAATTAAATGCTTTTTTCACCAACTTGCTTTCTGGGTTTGAATTTTTGTAGCTCAGTTCTTTTAGTTTAAAGCTGCATTCTTTTTGTACTGTTCTTCATTTTGATTGATTCTTGTTTGTAATAATGCTGTTTCAACATAATCCTTTCTCAGTTTTGAATTTTATATCCTGTTTTAGTTTAAAATTACCAACTTTATGCACTCGTCAGTATTTGATTGTGTTCTATTTCTGTATAATTCAATTTGATTGCTCTAAACTATCTCATTTAATACTTCTCTAGAGAATTGCCTTCTAGGTATTAAGAAACTTACTGTATAAATGTGTTTTGTAATATATAATTGTGCACGTGCCAGCAATTAATTGTTAAAAAAAAAAAAAGTTTTGTCCGAGTCAAATGTGTGATGAAAATATAATCAGAATACCGTGAACAGGTATTTGTAGGTGAATCCTATATTCTATTCCATCTTAAATGAAGTGAGAGAAATGTAAGAAGCTAGACTGGGCTTGATTGGTGAAGTAGTGGTGCTGAAGTGCCAGCAGCCGAAGCGTGATCTTGAGAAGATGGTGCTGCTTATTGACGGTGGACGAGTACTAGTGTAAGAAAGAGATTGTTCTGCGGAGGGGAGATATGAGGGTGTTCTAAGCCCATTTAAGAAATGGTGGTGAGAGGGAGGGAGGGAGGGAGAGAGAGAGCTGCTCGAGAACCCTGAGAGGATGGGGGAAGGGGTTATTATTACATGGATTTTCTTACAAGAAGACTGAGATGCCTCTAAGAACTGGAATTTGAGGGCCATATGGTAGAATTGTAATTTAAATGGGATTACATGGAGTGGTAATTAGTGCGAGAAAAGTTGGTTTTACGTATATTGAAGGATTTTTGCTTAATTATTTGTTGTCATATTTGTGCAATAAACTCAACTCAACTAAGCCCCATCCCATTCTGGTATGGGGTCAGCTAATCTCAGCCTCTGTGTGTGTCCTTCTCGAAAATAAGTTTATTTTAAAGTTATATATTCCTTGACAATTGTCTACTTAATGGGCGCTGGTATTATTTTAACAATTTTTTTTTTCTTTTTTGAAGATTGTTTTGACGCTTGACATTCAGTGTGGATCAGAGTTGAAGAATCTGTGAGATGGCTTTAACATTCTTTAGAGGGTTACATACCCATTCTTTTCTGATGTACCCATCTTCATTTCTTTCTAGAAAAAATGGTATGCTTTATTGTACAATGAAAAGCATACGAGGGCAAACTGAAACACAAGAAAAATCACAGCATCAGCTGAAAGTATCAACCCAAACCCAATCTAGAAAGCATGATGACATTTTTAAAAACTTTGAGGCAATCATAGGCATAGAAACTCATGTGCAGCTTTCCACTCTAACCAAGGCCTTTTGTAGCTGTCCATACAATTATGGGGCCCAACCAAACACTAGTATTTGCCCCGTGTGCATGGGCTTGCCCGGGGCACTACCTGTTCTGAGCACAAAGGTCATAGAGTCTGCCGTTAAAGTTGGTCTTGCACTTAACTGTAATCTTTCTCTGAGTTCAAAGTTCGATAGGAAGCAGTACTTTTATCCAGACCTTCCCAAAGGGTACCAGATATCGCAGTTCGATATCCCAATTGCAACTGGTGGTTACCTAGATGTTGATATTCCTCTTGAGTTTGGCGGTGGACATAGAAAGTTTGGAATTACCAGAGTTCATATGGAAGAAGATGCTGGGAAGCTGCTTCATACCGGCAATGGTAGTTTTTCTCAGGCAAGTCTTCACTCTTCAAGACTCTTTTTTTGCATTCGTAATTTTTTCTCTCTAATTCTCCAATCCCAGCCTCCCGTTGAGGAATCAGTTTATAATATGGAATGATTTTATGAACTTGAGATATTAATTATGGCATTTATTTTTCCCAAGGTTTATAATACAAGCTTACTGAATTTCATATTTCTTGGTAGTCGAAATCTACACGTATGTGAAATTCTCGCTTCTTCCATCATAAGACTACTGCATTCGTCTCAAGCCACTAAAGATTTTAGTTTTTATTATAAAGTATCTTTAATGGCATGTAGGTTGATTTGAATAGGGCAGGAGTGCCTTTGCTTGAGATTGTTTCTGAACCTGATATGAGAACTGGTATTGAAGCTGCAGAATATGCTGCAGAATTGCAGAGGTTAGTTAGATATTTGGGAGTAAGTAACGGAAATATGCAAGAAGGATCACTTCGTTGTGATGTCAATATCTCCATTCGTCCAATCGGGCAGCTAGAGTTTGGTACAAAGGTAAATAATTGCTCTTTCACAATAACTTGTTTCTTTGAACCAGAGAATAATATATGAAACTAAATGAGGATACTTACTTCTATAGTAAAATTAGTTTACAGAGCTTATAGTGATTAGGAAATATATTAAAGATTTCAAATACTTTTCAACTGAATTATAGTTGAATAAAATCAAGGCCGGTCCTGATATTTTGGGGGCCTGATGCCAACTTTAAGTACGGGGCCTGTTGAAGAAAAATCATTGTATTCTTACTTGAGCCTTCTTATAGAGAATTCTAATATAATCGTGAAGAATTTAATACGGACAGCTAAACCCCAAAATTTGAAGAGGAAAATAACAAAATGTCAAAATTGAACATGCACTGCAAATTATAAGTGAAGTTTGGCATACAGAATTATAATACGATGGTAAAAGGGTCTGTTTGTTTCTTTGATCATTTTCTATTTGCAACTATTTAAAACAAAATTGAATATGTATTTAGTGATTTATATGCAAAATCGGAGAATGTTGACTGCTAGAGATTGTATAACAAAATAATGAAAATGACGATTAAATGCAAATGAGTTTCTAATTTATATTAATTCATATTAAATTGACTTACAAATAAGAAGTATGAACATGGATAAAGAATTATTAAATTCAAAGTACATTTAACAAGCATCTAAAAAGGCTATTATCACGAGATTAAAGCAAAACAATAATAATAACAGTCTATAAACTTTGCAGTATATGTTTTGAAGATAAATGAGAAATTGAAAAACCTGTAAGGCTGTAATAATTGCAATGATACCAGACCAATTTGTTAAATTGAATCTTCAAAATTTTAATTCAATAAGACATAATTCATTTTTTGATGGGTTGAAAAAAAAAATATGGTGGGTTACTGTTGGACAAGAAATTTGAAGAAACGAAGAGACATTTTTATTTGGTTAAGAAAATAAATTAGGTATTTGGAAGATAAATGGCCAAATTACTTATAGATAAGTGATAAGTTTTATGCCACTTATATGTTTCTTCTAAAGATTTTTGTATTTTAATTTTTATTAATTTCTTGAGTTTGCATATTGATAATTCTATTTTAAAGAATTTCATAAATATAATTTTCGTTTTTCTTTAATCGATTAACCTTATATAATTTGGGGCTCTCACCAAAATGGGGTCTTAGGCGGTCGCCTATCCCGTCTATAGTTAAGGCCGCCATTGAATAAAACATTAGAACCATATGAACTTATGTAAAGAATTGAACCTTCTCTTTCTGCAAACTTGTAATGGCAAGCCCTAAATTGACATCTAAACATTAACCAAGATCCCTGAAATATGATGTCCTGTTTAGGATGAGAGTAGTTTCTCATAGTATGTCTCACGTGGTCTCTATGAATTTACTTGCAACAGCAATAGTTCAATACTAGCCCTCAGCTTGATGAGTTGTAAAGCAGTAGCAAGTGATATGATAGTTTAGTTGAATGCTGATCCTGTGTATCCCAAGTGAACTACAGTCTTTGGTTAATCGCTTGGCCTTTCAATAAATTGTACATAGTTTGGACTATATATGCTTTGCTATTAATTATTTTTTTATTTTATATAGATTTATAGTGTTTCTAAGATGCTGATATATGTATTGTCAAAGCTTATAAAATAAAATTCTACGTTATTCAGTTGTTCAAACTTGCACCAACAGGTAGAAATAAAGAACTTGAACTCATTTTCATCAGTGAGTAGGGCTATCGATTTTGAGATATCAAGACAGGCGCTTCTTCATAGTCAAGGTCAGGCTGATCAAATTGTACAAGAAACCCGTCTCTGGGAAGAAGGAGCTCAGGTTATATTTCTTTTTTTTATCATGATAAAAGGAAAACTTAGGCAAAGAATGTCTATATTAACTACTAAGCAACATGTTTGTTCTACTTTTAGAAAACAGTTACGATGAGGAAGAAGGAAGGACTTGCTGATTATCGCTACTTCCCAGAGCCTGATCTTCCAGGAGTTACACTGACTGAGGAATACGTTGATGGGATCCGTTGTTCCTTACCTGAACTTCCAGAAATGAAGCGTCGAAGATATGAAGGAATGGGTCTAAACATGCAGGATGTTCTCTTTCTTACCAATGACATCAATGTAAGTCCTGTTGGTCCTTAACGTGTATTTTGGTTCCAACTCTATGTTGGCACTATTAATATCGGGAAGTTCTACACTTTACATGTTATAATTGAGTTTGCCTTGCCTTTTAATCGTCAACATATCTATGCTACCAATGCATTATTTATACTATTATATCTAGCACTTCACATACCATTGATACTGATTGTTTCTACGCTCACAACGATTGTCCCAGGTTGCGGATTTTTTTGATTCAGCTATAGCAGAAGGTGCTGATGTAAAGCTGGCTGCCAATTGGATAATGGGAGATATTGCTGCCTATATGAAAAATGAGAAGTTGTCTATTAATGAGATTCAACTTAACTCACACGAACTGGTTGAGCTTATATCTTCAATTAAAGGTGGGACCATAAGTGGGAAAATTGGCAAAGAGGTATATACTTTTCTTATTTTGTTCATCATACCTTTATCATCAGCTATTGAGCACACATTTATTTGTTGTGTAGTTTCTAAGTTAATTCTTCATTTAATTATTGCTTAGCATGACTTGTAGATCGATTTATTTCTTTCAGCCTCTTCGTCCAAGTCCGAGCTATCTTGTCTTTCATGTTTTCCTTCTCCGATCCACTGCCCTTGAGGGCCTTGACCATGATCAGCGAACCTTCATGCTTTGTGTATAAGTTGATTAGTGGGTTAAAAAGAAAACACACTTCTCCCTCATTTAAATAACCTCTTCCATCCATAGCTCAAGTCTTATTTTGAATCTGAAATCTATTCAGAAACAACCATTCAGAGGAATAACACAATTCATTTTCTCTAATTTGTGATGTAGGGAGATTACTGAATTAGTAAATAGCAAGAAGGGAAGGGGAGGAGAAGAGAAGAAGAAGACAGAAACGAGGAGGAGGAGAGAAAACGGCCAAGCCAACTTTATAATTCTTAATCAATTCATCAACTAAGAAATTACAAACCAATGATAGGTTTAAATAATGAAAACCTAGAAATATAGGGCCAAGCCCATTATTCAAGTCCTAATTAAAATACGTAAACTTAAATAAAAGTCCAACTAAAATACTGAAACAATAATAAAAGTCCAACTATAAAGGATGTCCTCATCAACTCTCCCGGGGTGGGAGAAAACTCGACCCTGTCGAGTGGATATAACACCGTAGACTCTCGTCAATCTCCCAACCATAAGCTGAGTGGTTGGGCAAGTGTCTTCCGGCGTCTGTAAAAATGCGTCAGTGGCGGTCTGAACCTGGTGTCCTCATCAACCCCCCTCGGATGGACGGGAGGCGATCTGGACCAAGGAAAATCCTGCTGACTCCGATAAAGCTGTAGCAAATCTGGATCCAAAAGCTGTAGTGTTTCCCTGGAGATCCATGCACAATCAGAATCTGGTCGACCAACCCAACGAACAAGGAAGCGCTGAACCTCTCCATCACTAGTGAACACAGTTTCTTCATCTAAAATAGTATCAATTTTATCTGTGTGTGCTGTGAGAGGTGGTAGTGGGTTAGAGGGGGCCAAAGAATTAGGATCAAGGTCCACAAAAGGAGGTAACAGGGGATCATCTGAGGGAATGAAATGGCCTTTATAAGCTACAAGGTCTTCAACATTGAAAGTATGGTGGTAACCAATGTGGGATGGAATGTCAACAATATATGCATTTGGACCAACTTGCTTTAAAATTTTAAAAGGACCAGCACTACGAGCTTGCAATTTGGAGGCGGGTCCATGTAGACGCCGCTCTGGCCTAATGCGAACCATAACGTAATCCCCAACATTAAACTCAATATGTCGTTTATGTAAATCAGCTTGTAGTTTATAATTTGCATTACTAGCTTCAAGTTGTTTATTGATCTCAATGTGCAAATCACGAAGGTGTTGTGCAAATGCTTCGGCTGAAACTGACACTCTAGCCTGTGGGGACATAGGGATGAGATCTAATGGTTTCCTAGGCTTGTATCCGTGAACGGCTTCAAATGGACTCATACCTAATGAACGATTTACGGAGCTATTATATGCGATTTGAGCGACAGGAAGGATTAAATCCCAATTTCGAAGGTTCTCCCGGACCAGACAACGTAATAAGTTACCAAAACTCCAATTAACAACTTCGGTCTGACCGTCCGTCTGAGGGTGGTAGGCTGTAGAAAATTTCAATTTGGTACCCATCTTGTGCCACAAAGTCCTCCAAAAATGGCTAGTGAAGCGAACGTCCCTATCGGACACGATGGTCTTGGGAAGCCCATACAGTTTGACAATCTCATTAAAGAATAACATGGCAACCTCGGACGCATCCGATCTCATTAAAGAATAACATGGCAACCTTGGACGCATCCGATGTTTTGCTACAGGGGATAAAGTGAGCCATTTTCGAGAAACGATCGACAACCACGAAATAGAATCATGCTTTTTTGGGGTGCGTGGCAGTCCTAGCACAAAATCCATACTAACGTCTTGCCAAGGACAATTGGGGACGGGGAGAGGAGTGTATAGGCCTGTGTTCTGCTTCTTCTGTTTGGCCAATTGACAAGTGTTACATGTACTAACAATTTTAGCCACATCTCTCTTTAAACTAGGCCAATAGAATTGGCGAATTGACGTTCAACTTTCTCTATGGTCTTATCACATCCAAAGTGACCGGCTAACCCTCCCGCGTGAACTTCCCACACTATAAAATCTCGCACTGAAGTTCGAGGGATGCACAATTTATTGGTTCGAAAGAGATAACCCTTCTCAAGTCGAAAGTCACCTGTGCTGTTTGATTGTCCTCCTTGTAAATCGAGAAAGATATCCTTAAAATCTGGGCATGCCTCGTAATCCTCCTTAAGCCTTTCAAAACCAATGACTTTGACACTCATGATCGACAAAAGGAAAACACGACGACTTAACGCGTCAGCTGCTTGGTTCTCCACGCCCTTCTTGTGTTTTAAAACAAATGAATAGGCCTGCAAATATTCAACCCAACGTCCATGCCTAGAACTTAATCTCTTCTGAGAGTTGAGGTAACGGAGGGCTTCGTGGTCCGAATAAAGGACAAATTCTTGGGGCAACAAGTAGTGGCGCCAATAGCGCAAAGCCTGGACCACCGCATACAGTTCCTTATCATACGTTGA